GTGTGTGGGCGGGGGGGGGGGGGAGCCTGTGTGGTGTAGCGTAAAATCTCCAACCATATCACAGGCGTGTGAAAACAACCGGGTCGGTCAATGCCAAGGTCGCTCTGTTCATGTGGTGTCCAAAATAACTTTGTTGTGACGCTAGAAATGTTTAAACGTGGAAACCTGTAGAGTAGAGCTCACGTGTTCATTCTTTGTCACACTTGTTTGGTAGCAGTCGCTACATTCAATTGAAAAAAACACACAAAAAAAGAAATAATACTAAATATTTTAAAGGTAAGCAAAGATTGTTTTATGAAAAAAAACGCTAATTTGTTGTATTTACTGCACTTTCTTAAAAGATAAAATGAGCATATCTTTGTTTTCATTTAATTTTTAAATGAGATGTTTTGTGTTTAAATTTTTATAATTGCAAAATATTTCTTAGTTAAAATATGTATTATGGTTAAAACAATTCGTTTAATGCATTTGCTGAAAATGATTATGTACAATGTTATAAAAACATTTCCATTTATTTGTAGCAATGTAATCTTATCTTTATCCTTTATTACAATCTCTCATCAGTTAACTCTTTCTGACAAACATTTTTCTCTCCTTTTTAACATTTACACGTATCGTAATATAGATTTCCTTTCATAAAGGACTTGCAGTCTGACTTACGCAATCTAATTGTTCCTCAGTTGCGTTATATAAGCGTTGGTGATGATTTCCATGTTTTCATTAGATGGTGAATGCCATGGACACGGCATTGAAGTTAGTTGGATTACAGGCGGCCTGTTTAGTTCGGCTTTTGGGATTGCACCTGCCGCCGACGATAGAATTTAAGTTAGACACATTGGTCACCAACAGGTGAGCTAGAGGTACGTGAACACTCCAGGCACTGAACACTATGTTTGAAGATTAAGAACTCCTGAGATTCATAACCAATATTTAGTTCTATTTCCCTGAAACAACTTTAACTTCAAACAATGGAATGGCTATTGTTAGCAACATAATGTAGCATATAATATATTTCATGTTGCATGGAATAAATATTTTTCTATCTTTAATTATCACTCTACTACATGTAATTTATTTAGCTTATTGTATGTGTTTATTCTGTATGCAATCTAGTTTTCGTTTATTTGGGGTGAAACAATCGAGAGTCGCACAGGGTGACACAAAAGTCAGCTAATTCACATATACCATATCTCATGTATACGTCTCCATATGAGTTTATTTCTGTATGAGTGTATGTTTAATGTGCCCTATAACTAACTCTTAATCAAATTATTTCAATGTAGGTCATGCTATTTCTGTCAGGAAGGTTGCACACAAAGAGTTAAAATGTACAAATACATGTTATGTTCAATGCAGGAACTTATGGACGAAAAGGGGCGTTACACCAGGCCTGAAAATGGCCGCCCCCCCCCCCTTTTCAATCCCGTATAATCAACAAATTATTTACAATTTAAGCATTATTATAAGCTTTTTATATTTGATATCATTTTAAATATAAAATGTCAATATCTTAGATATCTTTAGTGTTTGTTGTTGTTTTTTTGTTATAAAAGTGGTGCAGTAATGTCACGTGGCTCGGAGGGAAGGTTAAACGAGTTGAGGACGCCGAGGACTCCCTAGATAAAGCGAGAGGGGATTGTCCTTTGGAAGGGGCTCATTGTATACATGGATAATTAACTATAATGGTATCATCACATGCTGGTACCCGGGTCGCACCCACTCTGGTGGATAAATGCCTATTTGTAAATATATAAAAATAAATATGTTAAAGCAGGGGGCTCAAACTCAAATTATCCTGGGGCCGCCGGAGGTAACAGTCTGAGTGAGACTAGGACGCATCAAGCATTACACACACAAAAAAACGATTACAAATACAATAAAGCAAAACTGTTACAATCTGTTCAACCTTTATTAATAACTATTGAAAACATTGAGGGTTCTCAAGAACTAGACTACACTTACTGCCTTCTACTCCTTATTGCCAGAGATCTGGCAGCGCTTCTCATTACACAGCTGAGCAATATTTGGCTTGAGTGAGGAAGCAACTGAGACGCTCAGTATAGATTGAATATGCTCATCAGTACGTTTGGGCCTAAAGTTTTGACTAATTTAAGTTTATAGTAGAAACAAGCTTTTCCCACACATAGATACTCTCGAAAAGGCACATAATCCGCTTGAATAAGCTAGAAATCACAAGGAATGTAAAGGGCAATTGTCTCTTAAATTGTTCAAGATTGTCTATTTTTCCAATCACCTCCCTGAACTTAGCCTTAAGTTCAGAATTGCATCGAAGAACAATCAGCTCCATCTAAAGCGGAAGGGGGGAGGCTTCTTCAACATTAAATGAGAAAGGGTCAGCAAAATTTTAAAAGTGGCTCTGTAGGATTTGAAGTTTGCAAAGATTTGATCAAATTCTACCTGTTACTTTGCAATGGCATCGGTATAATTACTTCTGAATGGCGTACCTGAGTCCATGAGTACTTATCATGTTGGGAAATGGCAGAGGTAGCTGTGAGAAAACTGGGCTTTGGACAACACAAGTTTTGCGCAGAATGCCCTGTCATTGTCCCTGGCAATGTAAGTTTTTGTTGAGTACATTCAGCTCCTGTGTAATGTCAACAAGAAAAGCCAATGCCATGATACATTTGGTATCAGCCAAGTAACAACCACCCCATCCTGCTCTTTGAAGGCTTTTATTTCTATTCTTAACTCAAAAGACCTTTTCAAAACGTTTACCATCAACACGTTTCACATACTAAGACAACGTGCCACCGTGAAGTAGATAACATCCTCACATGTTGCTCTATTGCCTATCTATAGGTGTGGAACTGCCAGTGTTGCAAGACCCTGCATATGATATGTTTGATGCATTTCGCAACGTCAGACATCGCATTATCAAACTACAGGCATTTGCTGCAAATGGCCTCTTTATTGGATAATTTCAGTCTTTTAACGTGAAAAATATGGCGATTCCCACTAGTGATTTTAAAACTTCAACGTTTTCAAACTGAACGGAGGAGCAGGCACTATTTATATGAATTATGAGATGATATTGTAACGACAACATTTTTTTATTTTTACACGTTGAAAAGGCCCTTTTTACTAATCCTATTTTGAAAGTGACCAAGCTGACAGGCTCGGAATTTCCCTCACTGGTCACTCGTACACTAGCGGCAATTTTAATAGGGATTCTTTGATGCTGTCTCAGAGTGCTAAGATTTGAAAACTTATGATTTTGTATTACCCACTAACTGACTGTTGTAACTTTTGATACATGTATTTAGAATATTCGAAGCGTGTTTTCTCAAAACTGCATTTCGGTCATGTTTGTCTCTTAAAAAGCTCATGAAATTTATAAAAATTAGTTTAAAACGGTTTGTATCATTATAATCAACGTCCAAACCTATACAAACAAAAAATCAGAATTGGACTCATCGGTGAGATTCAACTGAAACTGTCGCGGAGGGTCACATTATAAATATGATAATTGGGTCGCATTAACACTGAACTTTTCGTTCAATCATCGAGCCATAATGACCCGCGGGCCGCGAGTTTGATGCCCCTTTGTTAAAAGATAACTTAAGATCATCCCCCACTTTTTTTTTTTCAAACGGCCCTGATACTTTTTATGTTGTTCGTTTTATGTTATTATCATGTAGTCAAGGCTCGCTGCAGAAGTTGCATTCCCCTTTTGTTGACACAGTGGCTAGTAGCCAACCTTGAACTTGAACTACATTCTACTTACGTATTTCTAGGACGCAATGGTGTGCGTAGTTTTTGAACGTTAAGGTTTGTATCGTTCTATGACGTCTTAGGAAGCATGCGTATAGTTTCGTGGGCTGGATCGCTTAGTTGATTCAAAAATAATTGTTAAAATAGAACCCTATATAACACACGAAAGCACGCATGGAAACACATAGTGGATATAATTTTACACGTGTGCAGAGAGATAGGGTGGAGAGAGAGAAATTAGAGTGGGAGATAAAGATTAGGGTGGAAAATGCGAGAGAAAGTGTGAGAGAGAGAGAGAGAGAGAGAGAGAGAGACGATCACGAATGATTGAATATTCATAAATCTTTTCATCAAAAACTTGCAATGCGCCCACGAAAGCTAAAATACGGAGTCTTGATAATCTAAATTCTCGAATAAAAAACAACAACCTAGCTAGATTGTTGTGAGATGTCGTTGTTAATTGAGACCTGCGAATCCATAAAAAGCTAAAACATAAAAGTTAAATAGGGCTTAGCGATGCGAAGGTTTTTCTATTTTTATTACGCTGTTGATTCCAAACGATGGCGTGTCAGCAGTCGTCAATGCTTTGCAAGACAGAGGCCGTGTATTTGCTCTTTTCTGTTACCATTGGGGGGGGGGTTGTCGGAATGTTGTGGTGGTGGAAAGGGGTGTCTATCTAGGATCGATTTTTTTGAAGACCCTAGGTTTCATGGTAACGCTATAAAAGCCAGAGGCCGTGTTTTTGCTTTTTTCTGTTACCATTGGGGGGGGGGGTTGTCGGAATGTTGTGGTGGTGGAAAGGGGTGTCTATCTAGGATCGATTTTTTTGAAGACCCTAGGTTTCATGGTAACGCTATATGATGAGATCAAGGTTGAGCTATTTGACGAATGGAATAAGTCAATGAAAACACAAAAAGACTCTCTGTGAGGTAAGATGTGGTATATTGCATATGTCTATCCCAATAACGACACAGGACGGTGTGGTATATTGTATATGTCCATCCCAATAACGACAAATGGGGATGTGGTATATTGCAGTTGTGCATCCCAAAAAAGACACAGGACGATGTGGTATATTGTATATGTCCATCCCAATAACGACAAAT